ACCTACGAAAGGATTCCCTGTGCCGTGTCGTCGTTATAGAGTAAATTAAGAAGGCTACTACTCTGTAACAATATAAAGAATAAAATAAGGCTTTATACCGAACATGTATAGAAAATTCAATTATACCAAATTAACCAAATATTTGCTTACGTGATTAAATAGGTTTGTTTCTAGAACGTTACACCTAATAGGGTTTGTTTCTAGAACGTTACACACGTTACACTTAATAGGACCTGCTTGAGGTGCCGAGGCATTAATCATTACTGTGCCTTTCTGTAGATTTAACTGAAACTTTGGCGTAATTTTCAAGCCACGTTTTAGATGCACTTATTAGATTACGTACCATTAATTTCTTGGCCTAAGATTACTGCATAGAAAAAAATAGAACTTAGCTTTTTTGCTACTTAATAAAATTTTCATAAAAGGCAAACTTACCATGGTCTAGAAGCCTATTAATTTGAAGTGTATCCTTTAGGAAAAATAATATTTATCGCTTGATGATTTCTTCAATTAATTTATATTTAGAAGATTCCTTATGAATAAATATATAATACATATAATAAATATTTACATTTTATACTATATACAGGGTATACATATACTACGTATTAATAGAAATGTTTGAGATTAGCCATCAAATCCAGATATACTTGATTAAAAATTTTAACGTGAAACATTTCTTTATAAAAAAAAACATTTTTGACATTATTTCTCGAAAAAGAATTTTTTAAAATGTTTGTTTGGACGCAAAACTTAATATGTCGAATTTTATGTTACAGATAAAAGATACATATAGTTGAGTCATCAAATACACTTACTATATGCAGTTCGGATATTCTATTACATTTTGCGTCATTAATCAACAAACTAATCTAGAAGTCTGTGCACATTTATTTAAAATAAAAATAAAACTAGTAAAAAAATTTTTAATTCTTTTTACATATTAATCATCAATTCTTACAAAACAAAAAAAAAACAAAAGCTTTATACGTTTAATTAATAATGAAACAAGAATTGCATTTGCATTGAAAAACAAAAATTTCCAAAAAAAAGGAGCAGTAAAGAAAAAAATTTTCGAGAAAATGAACATGACCTTATTCGGTCACACAGTTATTTTATAAGCAGAAGTGATGAAATTTTCTACCTGAAAGGATATTCTTATGTTATTATACTTGGTATAGACTTTATCATTACGTACTTTTGAGATGTAAAAGATTTTACGCCCTAATTGGCTTACTGCGTAATCTTTTTATGGACTAATTAAAAACTTATATAAATTTTTAGCATTAAACATCTTTAGTAATTGAATGACCTAAGTGCGTACAAAAATATCCCCACGTTTTTGTTGTGACACCTTTGATCCATAGTTATAAGTAAAGATGCAAGATGCACAAAACTATGATTTTATATTAAGATGAACAAAGAACAATAACAGTGTCATACGATGGTCCCCGGTATAGAATAAATGGGAGATTTTACTCCTATCTTTGAAGGATTTATATTTTATTAACTTATATTAGGCCTTTGTATATAACATATATCTATATGCTAACGATTACTTCCTTGTTCTTAACTCGTTGTTAGAATAACGTAAATCGTGGTTTGTTGGTTCGTACTTCATAGCTATTATTAACTACTTTAATACTAAATTGTACGTATCTCGAATTTGGTCAAACCTTATTACAAAATTTAAACCTATCTTTGTTGTCGTCATAATAAACCTATTACTAGAATTTCATTGATGCCCCAACGTCTCAAAATCAATGATGTAAGCATCCATCGTTGTTTTAGGCAAAGTGTGCAAAAAAAAAAAAAAAATTTAACTTTCTTCAAAAGGCAATTATAAATTATAATTTAATTCTATAAACAAAAAAAAAAAAAAAATCGCATAAAAAGCAGATGATTACTCTTTTTTTTTTCATTCGCTAGGTTTTCCTTTTTCTTTTTTCTTCTAAACCTATACTCTAAAAAAAATTTAATAAGTGATAAATTTGGAGTGCTCGGAACTTTGGCGGACATTACTCCCAATTGCCAATTTTGTCGGATAACCATCAATTTCTATAACCTATATTTATATGTATATGTATGCGCACATCAATGAATGATCCATTAAAATGTCTCCATTATTAGTATCAGACGTCCTTCGCGAAATTTTTTTACACCTTGTTGACTCATGCAAATCGTCCGACCAACAATTTAATAACAATATAAGAGACTTATATCCATGCATTTTAGTAAATCGTCAATGGTGTGAAATTGCAATCCCGATTCTTTGGAGTAGACCTTTTTTCTACGGTCCCGATCATGAACAGTATAATGAAAAGGTCATTCAAATGTATGTCAAGTGCTTCGATGATCAAGATAAATTGCTCCTTTTAAATCGTGGGATTGATGTTTCAGAGATATTAAACTACCATTTAGATGATAATTCAAATTATAATGAAGACGATGAAGGCGATGGTATTATAGAAAATAATTTTAGTTCAAATACTAAGACTGATATCGTAATAAATCCACCGTTATTTAATTATCCTGGATTCCTTCGGAAATTGAATTTCACTTCAATGATAAAAGCTGTTGAGGCTTGGTGTTACTACTTATCAATTGAAATGGAAAAAACTCAAAGGAGTGACTTACTTGAAAACGCTGAAATTTTAATCTTTCGATCATTATTACGACTTTGTTTGAACAAAGGAGCAAGACTGCACGAGTTGATTTTATATCCTGACCAATTTGAATCATCAAACGATGAAATGTATACGTCATTGATCGAAGATGAATTTAAAGAACTGTTCGCGCCGGTTAAAACCTTGGAATTTAGCGGTATTGTTAGAATGGACGGATTTTTGCAAATGTTGGCTCAAAGATGTCGTGGAATTGTAAGTTTTATATATTAAATATATATATAATTTTAGTTTTCACTTACCATATAATATAATAATTTTCTCAATTTAAATTTAAAAATAGGAACATATACGCGTCACAACGTTATGGGCACGTCGTAGTAATGATAAACTCGTCGGAATTTTTCGTGACTCACTAGCTACCCTGTTTTCGGTCCAAAATTCATTAACATCTTTCGAATTATCGTATTGCAAAGCCTACACTAATGCAATACTACCAGTTTTAGAACCACATACTTCTACAATTCGATATATTCGATTTGATAATGTGAATTTCGAAGGATGTGACCCATTATGTGTACTTTCTAACTGTAAAAATATGGATGTGCTCGAAATTATCCAATGCGTGAATTTAAATGAAGAAATGGTCGATCCTATTATAAAAACAAGGTTTAAAAATGGATTTGAAGTTAGATTGGTAGGTGATGAATTATTACAAATTGAAAAGTTTAAAGATTGGGTAATTAAAAATAGTAGGTTTAATAAAAACATTGGTACGATAAATCTTGGCTCTGTTTGTGAAAGGAATGATGCAAACATTGCTAGTACTGAAGAGAACATTCTTAATGAAAAGTATGGTGGCAATAATGACGAGAAAGGAAAATTGTGAAATCATAAGATTTATTTTTATGTGTTCATATTTTCTATTTATTGAAATATTTTTAAAAGAAGCACTCGACATAAAAATATGATTTATTTAGTATATAATATAGTACTAAATTTTGTATAGTATATGTATTGATTACAATAACGGATTTTATAATAATAATAACAATAATGGTTGCCATAGAATTGTATATAGACTGGCATACCATGATTATAAAAATTTTTACAATAAATCGATCATCAATAATAACACTATTTTATTTTATTTTTTTATTTTATTTTTTTATTTTATTAATTTATTTTTTATAAACACAGGCGGGTCTTGATTCAAATGTGCGCAGATACGAAATCCTCTTACATTCAAGAGTCTGAATCCAAATATATGTCGATATTGACACTTATCACGCTGAAGCTTGTTTAAGCTTGTTTATGCATCCATTACAGCTATTTAAGTCCTCGGAAAAATTTTAAACCGTCTCATTACATATCGATATACGTATTCCGTTTATAAAGAATATAATTATAACAACAAAGGCCCATAACCGGATAATTATTTTTTCTAGTTTTCTTTTTTTTATTTATATATATCGATCGATATATATATATATATTTATTTATTTATTATTTCATATCGATCACAGTCATTTTTTATTAGCTACAAGTTTATATTTTTATCACAGTTCTTATTTAGAATTCAAATACTTTAAATAAACTTACAATTCAAAGTTTAATCCAATTTTAAATTTTGAAATGTATATACGATAATAATAAAAAATATACTGTATGTATAATCCACTGTTCCAAATTCAATAGCGATAGAAATTTAAATAATAACGATAATAATAAATAGCGGTATATAGGGGTTAATATTTTTGCCATTCTTTTACTTAATGCTGCCAAATACATATCTCAATTTATTTTTTTAAAGAGACTAATAGAGTCAACCCCACGAATTATCGTTATTAATCTAAATTTAGTATTCTATAAGTATTCTACGTATAATTTCATATCAGATGACAGTATTTCCAGTACTGCAGTGTCTCCAACCCTATTATTCAATTATTAGAAGTACGTACATTCATGCCTACGTACGATCAGAACGTTATATAGCCAGTGGTTAAAATTCAATTTGAATTTTGTATTTAATACGTATCAGAAATTTACTTGATATTTTTAAAAATTATATTTATAGTATTTTTAAAAATATTAAATTTACTGTATTAAATTTTAAATATTGTATAATTTTTTTTTTATAGTGTAATTTTTGAATCTAATTAGTTAATTATTATTATTATCTTAAGGTAGAAATCGTGTTTGTAACTTTATTATGGCTTGTAAATTATTATATTTTGTAATATAGCTACTAAGCTATATCAGTTAGAAAATATTGT